GGTCAAACTGTAGTGAGTCTATTGATCTGCTGAGTGTGAGGCGGCAGTAGGGGTTCTGGTATTGCAGAAAATGGCAAGGCTATCAGCAAATCGGATTCAGGAAACACAGAACCGTTGTGTGTGTGTGTGTGTGTGTGTGTGTGTGTGTGTGTGTGTATATATATATATATATATATATATATATATATATATATATATATATATATATGATCCAAAAATTAGTAGACCAAATAATATGCTATATATATATATGATCCAAAAATTAGTAGACCAAATTAATATGTTATATATATATATATATATATATATATATATATATATATATATATATATATATATATATATATATATATATAGGCGACACAGTGGCGCAGTAGGTAGTGCTGTCGCCTCACAGCAGAATTTATAATTATTCATTCATTATCTTTTCGGCTTAATCTTTTTATTAATCCGCCAACATGGGGAGAACATGCAAACTCCACACAGAATTGCCAACTGACGCAACTTTTTTAATGCAATTTGTCAAGTTTAAAAAAAAACAATCTTTAAATCTTTTTATTTTTATTTGAAAAACTGTTAGGGTCAATATTATTTGCAAATGTATTTATTTTCTTTTTTTTTTTCTTTTTCATTTGTCTACAGAACTTTTGTCCTAATATAAAGACAAAAGTTGTGTTTAATTCTATAGGATGCTTTACGATATTATTTTGTACTTGTACCAAATTAATATGTTAGGGAAAAATATTAAATAGTTTTATTAAACAAAAATATATAAAATGTTATTGATGTTATGTACTTTGTATTTTTTGTTATATATATATATATATATATATATATATATATATATATATATATATATATATATATATATATATATATATATATATATTGCGTGATTTAATATATTATCTTTCTATTTCTAAAGATGTTCAGTGTCTAAAATACATTTTAATAAATATTTCCTATAAATAAATCTGTTTTGTTTTATTAAAAACACTTTCATTAATGTAAACTTGATGAACAAAAATGCCTGTATGCTTTATATGTGCCAAAAACAAATCTATCTAAGGCTTAACGCCATCTAACTGCAAGACATTTAAGGGAAAAAAAACATATAATTGCTGCAGTTTCTGAAATGCTCTGGGTGTAGCTACTGTACCTTATCTGGACCCTTACAAAGGAAATGAACTTCACCTTGGGAGAATTTCCACAGCAGGTCACACCCTTGACATTGAATGGATGTTTTACACTGTACTGGTGTTGACTAACAGCCTGCTCCAACACAAAAGCTGGCTATCCAGGAATGATCATAGCAAGCAGACACTACAAAGCCAAAGAGTGTATAATGCAGCATAAGAGAAGCCGAGAGCACAGTATCATGTGGAGAGCAATATGCTGATGGTAATTACTAATGATTACTCCACTACACGAGCCTGGAGCCGCCAAAAACGATGCAGTGACTCAAGATTAACTGGAGCTTAATGAATGACATGGTGTGATGCTTTTTTAAAGGTCCACTTTCAGACTGGCTGATTGCTTAAGCAATTTACAGTCTGCCACAAGCAGATTGCACTACTAAACACTCAAAAGAGAACTTACTATAATACAAATATGATATACTCATGCACAAAATAAAAGAGCAATGTTTTGAACACGTACATAATTGTAATTTCATGGTGTTTGCTGATATACTGTGCCTTTAAAGGTCCAGTGAAATTAAAATAACGTTTTATGGTTGCTAGTATCAGTATGTTAGCCTTAAAGGGTATCTGTAAGCTAGTGTGGTACAAAACAATGACAAAATTCATGTTTAGATAACTGATCCAAACATGTAAAACTTGTAGTTAGTCACTTCCACCTAAATGGATCAATGTTTTTTTTTTGTTTGTTTTTTTCACGTCAGACGTCACAGACATGTCACTTGTATACTTTTAAATTGGGCAACAGTGTAGCTGTCAATATGGTGAATAAAGCCCGGCCTTCTATTAAAGGAGCCAATCAGCGATCGCTGTTTGGCGAATAAAGCCTGCCTTCTAGTACAGGAGCCAATCAGCGATCGCTATACAATGACAATTCTCCAGGGGAGGGGATCGGACCAGATGCGAGTTTCTGCAGATTTTGTGGGATACGAACATTTAGAAATTAAACTAAAGCCTGACTATCTAAGACCAGGCTGGAAATGGCTGGAAACCCCTCTAAAACCAGCATGGTCTACCAGCTAAAACCAACCAACCAGCCTAGGCTGGTTTAAGCTGGATTTTTCAGTAGGGTCCACATTCAAACAGAATGCCCAAGCATTCTGCCTGAGAGGCGTTTCAAAGATGGTCGCCGAGTGAACTGACTTGCCTTAAACGGACTTGAAGGGCCTCAGTTTTTTATCAAATCTTCTGACCAATCAAATGCTCTCTAGCATAGATATATACACTAGATGTCGCATAGGGACCCTGAGCATGCGTCACGTAACGAGCAAACAAAGAAAACAAAGCACAAAGGCAGAACATTTCATAGGTAAGATTAAGTTTTTTACGTTTTTGTATGTTCTGAACTTTTGTGATAAACAGGTAGCATTATTGATGATAACAGTCACTTACTGCGTTCACCAAAAGGCAAAGTAGCTCCAACTCGCACTTAATACTCGGCGTATGCTAGTTTTGTTGAATAAAATCAACAAACAATGCAAAAGAAATATGACAACGAGATGCTGCGCTGCCAAAAACCACAGTCACAGCCACAGTCCTCCACTGTTCCTTGGTCCCACATTCATTTCAAAGGAGCGCTACCCTGTTCCAAAATGGCGGCTCTATTGACGCATTCCTTCCAATAGACAACAACAGGATAGGCGACATCTAATATATATATCTATGGCTCTCTAGTATCTGACATGCCCCGCCCCTTCAAGACGCTTCACATTTGCTTTCATTTGATGCGCTTGACACTCACACTGGCAGAGCATTAATTAAACAAAACGCTATTGGCTGTTTGTGAAAAGGGGAGGAGCTACTATATGCATCACCGTCTCTTCACGTTTCAGTTGAGATTATGTCAAACCTCGAATAAAAAATGCACATTTTAAAGCACATAATGAGACCTTTAAGTAGGGCTATTTAATACATATGACAGTAAATATATTTAAATAATGATGATCATTTGATAAATTTTTTTTTTTACAATGCAAATAAGTGGCCAAAATAAGTGTCATGCGAGATGTGATATGCTGTTGTTAGCCACACAAAACAGATGTCACAGGGAACTTACTATAGTTAAAATACTAGTTATTCACAAAACAAAAAAGTACCATGGTAAAGCTGTGTTTTGAAGACAAATATAGTGGTAATTTCATGATATATTATATATTGTGCCTTGACTACTACATAAAATCACAGTAAACATATAAAAATGAAAATCATTTGATTCAGAATGACAATCATGATCATGTACAGGTTTTTTTTACTAAAATAAATGGAAGATATTCACCATGCTAGATGTGATATGTTGTTAACCACGCAAAGCAGATGGTACAGGGAACTTGCTATAGTAAACATGCTATAATTATACACAAAACAATAAAGTACTATTACTAATCTATCTTTTAAACACATAAAAGTAATATCGGATGCACTGAGATATTGTGCTTTTAAGTAAAAATACAGTAAATAAATATATAAATAGTTGATCTTTTGATTCTGAATGACAGTCATGATCATGTACTTTTTTAAACCTCCAAAAAATGACAGAAATTTACCATGTGAGATGTGTTATGTTGTTAACCACACAAAACAGACGGCACAGGGGCAGGGTGGATTTAGTGATTTGGGGGCCCTAAGCAAGTCCAAGCACGGGGTCCAAAAGTCCTAAAATGCACTCTTTCGACTTTTATTTTATTTATTTAGTAGTATATATATATATATATATATATATATATATATATATATATATATATATATATATATCACTCAAACTTCTTTTCTACATTTTATCTTAATAAAATCTCCACATATTAAGTGATCCGTTTTCTTAAAATGCAATTTACAACTAAAAATACAACAAAAAATAATTAAACTGCTCTTTGATTGGGGGTGGTGGACAAATTTGTGTCGATGTAATACTATTTTATATTATTATAACATGACATTACACTATTATAATAATATTCCATTTTATTTTATATTAAATAATATTTATTATGTTTAAACTATATTTGACTCTCACCATACAAAGTATGATAGAAACCATTGCTATATATAGTTTAAAGGTATAGATATTTATTAGGGGCCCCGAGATTTTCTGGCACCCAAGCGGCCACTTACCTTGCTTATTGGTTAAATCCACCCCTGCACAGGGAACTTACTATAGTAGTTAGTTAAAATACTACAGTATAGGTATGCATAAAAAAGCCAAAAAGTACCATGCTAAAGCTGTTTTGAACACATATAAAGCTCTTCAATAGTGGTATGCATCATGGTTTCGCTGATATACAGTGCCTTTGTGTATATGTATTGTGTGTATATATATATTGTAAATACACAAATGAAAGATGATCATGTGATTCTGAATGACAATCATGGTCATGTACAAAAAAATGACAGAAATTGACCATGTGAGGTGTAGTATGTTGTTAACCACACCTTTTAATAATTTTATCATCATTTAGTTTACTAATTTTCATGATGGTGAGCACACAATAGATGAATGTGCACATCATTAATTTCAATATACTTATTTAGCCCATCAAAGCACAATGACATAGCCCAATGGGCTCCCGTCTGGCCAGATGTAGTTCTCCGGAAATGCACACTATTAACGCATGTAAACACTGTTCATGATGTATAATTTATTTAGCATGCGAGCACATAGTATCTACTATGAAGAGTGATGTGTGACCTTGTTGAGAAGCGCGCGCGCGCGTGTGTATATGTGTGCCGGTACAATAGACTGACCGGATGGATGAGCCGGACACATGAACCCGCCTGACCGGCTCTTTCTCCGGCGCGTGCACATACCTGTGAAGTGCTTGAGGGTCGCCTCGCCCTGGACCCACAGGCTGAGCACTTGCTGCACCGACAGATTAATGGAGTAATCCTTGTTCATGTTCGCGCCGGGCGGCTGGAGCGCGGCCCTTCTGCTCAGAAATCTGCCCGAGGATGGAGGACACATGGAGGCTCTTCACCGGCGCCGCTGCTCGCTGGAGGAGGATGGCAGAGCGCCGGTCCGTCTCATCAGCTCAGGGGCCATGATGGGTAAGGCTGACATCCACACACACACATTCACACACACACACATACACTCACACACTTTCACATTCACGCGCACTCTCTCGCTGTCACACACACAGATGCACGCGCGCGCGCACCGGCGCTTCTGCAAGGCGCTTAAAGGCGCCGCGCTCTTAAAGGGAGGTGAGCATCACATGTACAGTACGACCAAATACTGCAGTTTATGAATGAAATTGTGTACTATCTATCTATCTATCTATCTATCTATCTATCTATCTATCTATCTATCTATCTATCTATCTATCTATCTATCTATCTATCTATCTATCTATCTATCTTAATTTAAATTTTGTATTTTTCTATATGGAATAATTTTATAAGAACTAGAAAAAATGGTATTGCTGTTGTTGTTGATAGTAGTAATAAAAATATCAGTATCCCTAGGTAATGTTTATACTGTATAGATTTATGAAAGTGTGTATATTGCTGTTGGCACAATTTCTAACTAACTATGACTGCTCATGCAATATTAAAAAAAAAAAAAGATTAAATGTACTATTACCACTACCATCACAACTACTTCTATCCCTATCATTATTATTATTATTATTACTATTATTATAAATAATAATAATGGGCATCATGGTGGCAAAGTGGGTAGAATAATCATCTCACAACAAGAAGGTCGCTGGTTCGAGCCTCAGCTGGGTCAGGTTCTCCCCGTGTTGGCGTGGGTTTCCTCCGGGTGCTCCGGTTTCCCCCACAGTCCAAACACATGCACTATAAGGGAATTGAAGAAACTAAATTGGGCGTATATGAGAAAGAGTGTGTATGGGTGTTTCCCAGTGATGGGTTGCAACTGGAAGGGCATCCACTGCATAAAACATATGCTGGATAAGTTGGTGGTTTATTCTGCTGTGGTGACCCCAGATTAATATAAGGACTAAGCCAAAAAGAAAATGAATAATAATAATAATAATAGTAATAATAAAATATTTTCAGAAATGTACAGTATACTATGTTGTTAACAACAACAAATATTTCAAGCCATTATATTAATACTAAAAATAATTGTTATTGTTATGTATATTAATAAAAAGCTTTTGGATAGAAAATCAAGTTTAATGCTACGGAAAATGAGAAATAATTGTATATTTAAATATTAAAGTATTTAAAAATAAATTAATATTATTAGGATCATCATCAGTAATCATAGATTTAAATAATCAGTTTAAGCATAGTCCAATGGTTCAATTAAAACTGGTAAACAACGAACAGGACTGTTTAATTTAATATCAATAACATTAATCATATAACATGCTATTAATATTATTGACAATATTAATGATTCATTCATTCATTCATTTTCTTTTCAGGTTAGTCCCTTTATCAATCAGGCGTCGCCACAGCGGAATGAACCGCCAACTTATCCAGCATATGTTTTACGCAGCAGATGCCTTTCCAGCCGCAACTCATCACTGGAAAACACCCATACACACTCCTTCACACACACTATGCCCAATTTAGTTTATTCAATTTCCCTATAGTGCATGTGTTTGGACTGTGGGGGAAACCGGAGCACTCGGAAGAAATCTACGTCAACATGGGGAGAACATGCAAACTCCACACAGAAATGCCAACTGACTCAGCCAGGGCTCGAACCAGCAACCTTCATGCTGTGAGACGATCATGCTACCCACTGCGCCATCGTGACGCCCCATAATGGATTTATATAAATATTCATTTGAAATAAAATTATAAAATCATCATAATCTCCAGCATTATTCATTTGACAATTCACATAGCTTTAGTTTAGGTGTTAATCCTTGTAAATTACTACCTCATTAAAATCACCATGAAGTGAATTTTTAGCAGTCATTGCTGGAACTCCACTAGAATATTTATTTTATCTTGTCTTGTCTCCTCTTGCTGTTGCTCTGCTGTGTTAGATAATGTGTTGCTGTTCTGGAAAATTCCACCGAAAAATCTATTTTAGGACTGACAGTGTTCACCTTAAAATGCCTATATCTAGGAATTGAGACAATAACATTCACTCAGAATTTCCCTTAAAGAGCCCATATTATGGGTTTTTGAAAATTCCCCTTCATGTAGTGTGTAACACAGCTCTAAGTGAAGTGAAGTATCCAGCTAAGGCTTAAATCTGTTAGTGTACAGTGTTTAAAACGGTTGATTCATCTAGTCGATGAATCAACGATGAGTCGACTCATAGTGCTTCAAACGAGTCGCCTTGATACCGAGTCATTAGGTGTTTCGCCATGACGTACGAATGAAACCAAGTTACTCACATGCACGCGCAAACCCGTGAGATTTCGAACCGGCGACCTTCCGCATGGGAGTCGGTTGCTCTAACAAGGAGGCTTAAGACCATGGTGTCTAGTGTCTGTCGCTGGAGCATCTTTAGAGGTCAGAGGAGTGAGGTTTACCTGCACAGCACACACTAGCTGGCCTCCGTTACACTCACCCCCCTAAACCTCACTCCTATCCGGGTCACGGCACCAATGTAACCCCACCGGTTTTACGCCACCCAACCCGCTCCGAGCTGGTATCGAACCGGCGACCTTCCGCATGGGAGTTGGTTGCTTTAACAAGGAGGCTAAAGACCATAGCCTCTAGCGACTGTCGCTAGAGCACCTTTAGAGGTCAGAGGAGTGAGGTTTACCTGCACAGCACACACTAGCTGGCCTCCGTTACACTTAGTCCCTTTATTCATCAGGGGTTGCCACAGCAGAATGAACCGCCAACTATTCCAGCATGTTTTACACAACGGATGCCCTTCCAGTTGCAACCCAGTACTGGGAAACATCCATACTCTCTCAAAATCACACACATACACTACAGGCAATTTAGTTTATTCAATTCACCTATAGCACATGTGGTTGGACTGTTGGGGAAACCAGAGTGCCACGCCAACATGGGGAGAACATGCAAACTCCACACAGAAATGCCAACTGACCCAGCCGGGACTCGAAACCAGCAACCTTCTCACTGTGACGTGACAGTGCTAACCACTGAGCCACCGTGCCACCCAAAATGTGTATTTCTTTGCATATTTATTCTAATACTCATGTCGTTATACTAAACATAAAACTTTCAAAAATAAATTGGGCTTATTGGATTCGGATTAAAACCTGAACATGATCTAATGGGGTTTTCATTGGGAAACTGACATAACAGCTTCTCCTCCCTGATAATTTTTCCACTATATGATGGTCTGATATTTAATCTTGCGCTTGCTGTATTGTTGTACTGTATGCTCACAGCTTCTGCTTTCTCACTGTACAGAAATGCTCATTATTAAACAGTGACTGAATGGCAGGTGATGTGAAGAGGACACCTGACACCTGAGCAGAGAGTGGGGAAATTGACCTTTGTGAAGAAATCCAGCTCCTCTAAAGGGCCCAAGGGCGTGTTTCCAAAGGCAGAGGGAGTTATTCAGCTCCAAGGACATTGTGGGACTTGAAAGCATCACTAGTTGAACATAAACAAACCTAAAACCCACATAAATTAATAGGATACATACACAGGGACTTTTCATTTTCAGTGAGCTGGCTTAGTTCCAGTGGTGTAAAGTACTTAAGTAAATGGACTTTGTTACTTTGCTTAAGTATTTTTTGGGCTACTTGTACTTGTACTATTAAAAATATAAGCAACTTTTACTCCCTACTTGACTACATTTTTGATTAATTATTTGTACTCTTTACTCCACTACATTTGAACGGACGCTTATAGTTACTCGTTACATTGTGATTGTGCGTGACAAGTCGGGACTGATGACCGTCCATGGCCTTATCTGAAAGAATTGTTTTCATTTGCCGATATGCAAAATGCCTCTTACAGGATGCAGTGTCTACTATAATAAGTGCTTTTAAGAATTTATCGGAAAAATTGAGAAAACACATTGAAGTAAGAGTCTATTTAATGTTAATTTATTGTGAATTAAGTGACTTTAATACAGTTACTGTTATGGCAAAAAGCACTGTGACATGACATGACTATGTTTTAGCCTAATGTTTTTGTGCAATGTGAATAAATGTTTTACTGATATTATATATTTTGCATCAGGTGCATTTAGCTGTGAGTTTGTGATGCATTTTTCATTTAATTTATATGTAGTTTACTAAGTTGCAAAATAACACTGATCCTCTTTGTTTAATACAGAAAAAACATCCTAATCAATTGAAAAACTACTCAAAATAAAAGTATTGCCCCCCTTTGAGACGGTGAGGTGAATCACGTGAAAGTCAGCCTTTTTTTTTTTTACTACGTTTTTTACTACTTTTTTTTGTTTTTTTTATTGTTTGTGCCATTTTGAACATTTGAGTTTGAGACTTTTTGTTTTATTTTATTTTTTTCATCTATTTTATTCTGCCATTTTGAAACATTGAGGTTTTCAATTTAATTTCTTATATTAGGAAATAAAACCTTTCTTGTTGTTCTTTGAGCCTATATTCAGTATGAGTAAAATACTTAAGTTCTTTTAAAATTGGATACTTTAATACTTTTACTCAAGTCTTATTGGAATTGGTGACTTGTAACTTGGAGTCATTTTTACAGTAAGCTATCTGTACTTTTACTCAAGTATGGTTTTCAGGTACTCTACACCTCTGCTTAGTTCTGGTAAACTGTCATGACGTTACACAATCGCTGCGTTTAAGATCTGATTTCTTTACAGATCAGTGATCTGCGCTGCCTGGTTGATATACAATATAAAGTGAGACTCAGACCGAACAAGAACCACTTAATTAAATTCCTTTGTCCCACGCCATGTCTTTAAAATATTGAAATTTATTTTACCACAGTATTTTCAAGAGCGTTTACGCACTGGCATTTAAATGATCTTCCATCTCGTTTTACGCTTGAACAACTAAGTGAATGCTTAGGTCTATTTAACTGATTATATATTAATCAAATGACATCATCTACGCTGTGATAGAAGCCTTATGAACGAACCGTTCACCAAGTTTATTGGTGGCTGTAAAACATTGCCATTCAAGCATCTTTGAGAAAACAACAGTAGTTCTTCAAACTTCTAAAATACTATAATAAATCCATACATGTGTAATAT